AGGAATCAAAAGTTATTGTCACCGAAGCGGCGATGTGATTTGTCCGCGAAATTTCGCTCATTAAGTTCGCGTCATGGAGGGTCGACGCTATATGGGAGAGTTCCCGTCCTCCTCCCATTCTAGGAGGTCTGTCACGATGTGTACACATCACACTGCAATATCTTTTAACCCGAATTTGCACAACCAAATGTGTCGTTGCTATACATACATGTATGTATACTGTACATATACATACATACATGCTATATATTATCAAGAGTCCCTTTTCTATTATATAGACACTTGATGTTATATATATATATACGTATGAAGTGGCGGATTCATGGGTGGTGGATTGGTTGGCTAGCCACCCCCCTCGTTTGGACTAACAATATTTGTACACCAATATACCAATTAATTATTGCCAAGTATAATAGTCGCGCGGCTGTATAAAACGGCACCTGATGCATGGGTTAAATTATGTAATTGAGTGGCAAAGCAGGTTATAACCCGTTTGCACCTTTTTTCACAATTCCAAGAAAGAGTTTTGGCTGTCCAGCGGTGGTCAACACTACATATTCAATAATGCCCCCCTCCCCTGTACATCAATCAATGCCGCGCTGCAAGCGCAAGAATTATCGTAGTCAGAATAAAGGCTGTACATGTACTCAAAAGTGCCTCAAACACCATCTCCTGCTATCAACATTTTCAGAATTTTCTGGGGGGGAGGGCCCCCATACCCCCCGCCTGTTTTACACCCCCTCCTTGAAGTCCAGGATCGGCCACTGCGTATGTGCTTGTGTATGTATATATAATTATATATACATGTATGTATAGTAGAATCGATGGTAGTAATATATCACTAGATGGTAATACTGTTGTACGCCAGTAATATTGTATGCATTTCGCACAGACGCACGCCATCAGCAACCAGGGTGATACCGGACTCACAGAGTAGCATGGGCAACCTCACTGTCTGTCCGCCTGCGTGTTAAGACTCACGCGAGGCCAACTGTGTAGCAGTTACACACACAACACTGTAGTGCTGTGCCCCGTGCGATAGCTTCACTACCCCCGTACAGCTAACGGATACAGCAATAGAGACATTAACATATATATACACGTGTGTATGCGTGTGTGCGTCTGCGTGTGCGTGCGCGCGTGTGTGTGTGTGAGCAGCTACCGTCACGCGTGTCGCGTGTGCCTGGTAGTGTGCATCTATGTTGTCATCCGTCGATGTTGATTCATGGAGCAGATTTGAGTACGGTCGACGGATGCATCGGTTGCTAGGGAGGATGAGGAAGCTGTGCTCTGTCTAGCATATGAAGCCATCAGTAAGCAGGCTCCCGGTAGACCGATGGCTTAATTGCGACCTATCTGCCTGGCGTGATTGCACTAGCGAATAAGCATTGTGATGCGATATTTGCAAAACAGTGCTTAGTAGTGCACACTTGCGATTACCCTGGACGAGCTGGCAGGACCTATCAATGATGTCCAGGGTTTGACATGTCGTTATTAACCCCCTTAGATGAGTAGGTCAGGTGGCATTAGTGCCTGAAAATATATCCTGCGAATAGATATCCGGTTGTGTGTCCGACGCAAATGTGTTTCTTGTGTCAGCAATGGTGCGTTGTAAGGGTAACGTTATTTATGTATTATTTACTCGTTCTACTGATGCACTTAGTGTTCCATTGATTCATTATTAATTAACGATAGGGCAATACGTTTCATTTCAACACTCCAAGTGCCAAATAGTGCATCCGTGTCCGCGTGGCATCTGCTCGCCAAATTATTCACTCACTACTTGTAAAGACACATTCCTGCTTGGCTTGTTACATATATATATATATATAAACATGAATGTATTTGTACGTGCGTGCGTGCGTGCGTGCGTGCGTGCGTGCGTGCGTATGTATGACTATCGTGTAGCTAATCATTTCTTTTCTTCCGGGTATGAAGATTAATCCTAATAAGCATGCAGCATCAGGTCATTAATGATTGAGCGCGAACCACCGATGAATCATGAATCATGAAGTATGTGTCACGGATTCGAAGTGCCACGGTCGTTCTTCGTGTGTGTAGTCGATAGGAAAAGAAACATTGTTAAGGCCATGATAGAAATATTGTTTGTTTGCTCTCATCCGACCGACCCGCCAAAAAGGGGCCGACGGAAATTTATTGATCTTTCCCATTTTTTTTTTTACAAATTGTATCAGTGTACATTAAATAAATCTGTAGGCAATATGCAAGTTAATTAGCAAGCAAAACAAGCATTCAACATAAAGGATATCTGCACACAAGCACCACCTGAGCATGTAAAACACCATGCGAAAATCTTGTTAAAAACCCCTAAAAAAAGACCTACCTACCTACCCAAACTTTTCAGCCTGGGGTCGGAGTGAGGGGCAAAACAAATATTTTTTTAATCATTGCTAATCAAGCAGCAATGCAATTTCACAACAAGCTGCTGGTCGCGATTATAGGGAAATCTTTTACGAACGATCGCATCGTGTTTGTAATAATAGTCGAATTTTTATGACATGTTTTTGTTTGTTATGATATATTATTAGAAGGATTTTAAGTTAGTTCTGTTTTATATATATATATAGGAGAATCAAAAGTTTATGTTGCATCCTAAGGCTGGGCGAGTTTTTGGTTTGGGTTTTGTTTTTGTGTGTTGGTGTTGTTTTTTTGTTTGGCCGTTGTGATTTGTCCTTCGAGATTATTTTTTGCTTTATTAACTTGCGCGTAGGAGAGTTGTTTCGACGCGGTTTTTTTTTTATTATATGTTATTTCCCTCGCCTGCGCTCCCCTCCCGAGTTTTAGTGAGTCTTTTCTTACTGGTTTATTTTGTGTTTAACATTTCTTACTATCTCTATATCTGGTTTAACCGAATTTGCACAACCAAATGTTTGTTGGTTGTTGTTTGTGTCGTTTGTTTGATAGTTATATAGTTGTTTTATGTTGTAGTACATGTTGATTAGTTTCATATATATGCGATTCTGCTTTTATATTTATCAAGAGTCCTTTTTCTAATTATAAGACACTTTATGTTTATATATATATATATATACGGGATGCATGCGGATCATGGGTGGTGGATGGTTGGCTAGCACGCCCCCTCGTTGGACTACTAACAATATTTGTACGACATATCCAAGTTAAATGTATGGCCAAGTAATAATAGTCGCGCGGCTGTACAAAACGGCACCTGATGCATGGGCTTAAATATGTAATTGAGTGCAAAGCCAGTTATAACCCAGTTTGCACCTTTTTTCACAATTCCAAGAAAGAGTTTTGCTGTCACCGTCGTGGTCAATGACACTACATATTCAAGTATATGCCCCCTCCCCCTTACATCAATCATTGTCCGCGCCTGCAAGCGCCCAAGAATTATCGTTAGTCAGAATAAAGCTGTACATGCTACTCAACAAGATGCGCTCAAACACCATCTCCTGCTATCAAACAATTAGATTCTGGGGGGAGGGCCCCAATACCCCGCCTGTTTACCACCCCCTCCTTGAGCCAGATCGGCCACGCTCTATGTGCTTGATGTATGATAGTATAATTTACGATATACATGTATGTATAGTATAATCGATTGTAATTAATTATATCACTAGATTGCTAATACTGTACTGTTGTACGCCATATATTGATATGCATTTCGCACATACGCACGCCATCATCAACCAGGTGATACCGACTCAAGAGTTAGATGCTGTTTTTTCGCGATACCTTTCAGGCTGTCGTGGCGGACACGCGCAGGCCAAAAATGGTAGCAGTTACACAACAAACACTGTAGTCGCGCCCTTGCGATTTTTTCTTGTGTTTTTATTTTTTTTATTGTTTTTTTTTTAGTGTTAGCTTTTTTTTGTTGGTTTTTTGTGTTGATGTCTTTTTAGGTTTTTGTTTTGTGGTGTTGTTTTTTTTTGTGTTGTTTTTTGGTTTTGTGTTGTTGTTGTGTTGTTTGGGGTTTTTTTGGTCGGGGGAGACCCGGGGGGGGAGGGCCCCCCCCCACCGGCAGCGAGACAAACCCACCGGGGGCGCACCGGACTCGGTAACCATCCCCCCAGGGACACCCCACGGCCGACCACCAATACCCCGCTACAGCTAACGCATTACAGCATAGAGACATTAACATAATACACGTGTGTATGCGTGTGGTCTGTGTGATGTGGTGTTGGTGCGCGCATGACTGATGCGATATATATATATATATTATATCATAACATATAGATAGATATATATTATATATATATACTATATAATATATATATATTATGTATATATATAGATGTGCGAACCCGGAAATCTAAAAATAAGGGTGAGGATGGCATGGACAGTGGGACTATAGACCGCGTACGTGAGTGTCTTCGTTCCCATGCAACAGCCCTGCCGATATTCCGTTAATGACGTCAATTCGTCCCACTTGAACATCGTATAAACGTTGAGAATAGAACGTTTAAAAATTTCATCATAATTATAGCTCAAACTTTTCAACATGAAGATTGACAGCGAAACGCCCAAGCCTTAAGTGTCTGTGACGTGAGTGAGTATAGTAAACGAATGTCGTATGTGTCGCAGATCCAAACGAAACAACTGCATGTGAATAAAATTTTTACAATTATTCCTGGTCCAAACACAGCAAACGCCTGTATCGATGTTCAATTGTTGTTTCTGTTTTGCACGTGGCGCGCCTGCATTGTTGTGGTGGCTCGTGCTGCGTGGCTGCTTGTTGCGTGAATCGGCGCGCCGCGTTTTGTTTCGATTTCGACAGATTCGTGTCACGCGGGTCATTGTCGGGCACGCGCTTTGATCTATCACCTGCTCATATAGCCCGGCGCGTCGTGCGTGCTCCCGGTGGGCGGCGTGCAGTCGCGTACGTCTGTGGTGCGTGCGTTGGTCCGTGTGATGCGGGCGTCTGTGGGCGTGCGTCGTGTGTGCGTCCGTCCGTGTGGGCCGTCGGACGCCGTGCCAGCACCGCTCCGCCTCCATTCACTAGAGGTTGCCCAAGATGCAAAGTTTTGAACACGTTATAAATTAAAATAAATATATGTCTTAATTAATAGGCGACTGCCAGAATAATGAAAAAAGTAGGAGAATGTCTGGGCGCGTGGCACGTGTGTGCCACGCGGTGTATAATGCGCGCACGCTGTGATATTTCGCGCACGCGTTGTATTGCGCGCACGTACGTGTTGAGCGGGCGTGTGTGCTTGCGTACGGTGGGTGGTGTGTGTGGGCGCCTAGCGCGCGTGTGTGTTGTGGGCGGGCGCTTCTGCGCCGCGTGTGTCGGGCGGCGCCGGTGCGTGTGATGTGGGCAGCCGTTGCGCGCGCGATGTGGTGCGTGGGCACCTGCGCGCGCATGTGGGCGTGGCACCTGCGCGCGCGTGGCCGGCTAAAGTGCGCGTGGAGCGCGCGCACGATGGTGTTGGTGCGCGTCGCGCGGCGCGTGTGTCCGTGCCGTGGCGGCGGTGCGAAGCGCGGTGGGGTGCGCGTGGGCGAGCGCGGTGTTGTGTATCGGCGCCCGTGCGGCGCGCGTGGGCCGCGTGTTGTATATGGCGCGTGGCCACGCGCGTGGTGTTCGGTGGCACCTGCGCGCGCGAGTGGGGCGTTGAAAGCTAGGTACAGCAACGTGCGTGACGCGCGCTGCGCGCTGCGACGTGTGAGCAGACGAGATGACAGAGGCTGATCGCATAAGAGCTAGAGAAGAATGAGGAGTAGAGAGATGATGAGAGAGAAGAGTGAGCAGAATGCACCCGACGGAGGCACGCACGCGAGAGAGAGATCGGGAGAGCGAGAAGAAAGACGAGAAAGAGAAAGACCGTAGTCAGATTTGCATTCGATTGGTGATTGATCACACCGTGTTCACCGCTATGGCCGCGTCATCCTACCTCTAGCTAGGGACACGACTTACACCCGGATCACATCTCCCTCCCCGCCCCTCCCCATGCCGCCTCTCATACGATAATATGGCCCTGCCCCTCCCTCC